TGCTCTTTTGTCCTTCAATAATGCAAACCAGAAGTCGTAGAAGTTCAAATAAAGGCAAGAAGGTCAAATTCAAGCAGAAAATATGTCATTTTATTAAACACAAGGAACTGCATTATTTTTCAATCCAGTATTCCACACTTAGGACAGCTTTCATGAGTGAATTCAGATTTATGTTGCTGAGAAACATGTGGGCCATGTCCTGTTCCCCTGGAAAGTTCTTCAGACTAATCCTATCAGAGATATAGTAAGAATCTGACGTCCAATTGTGTCAGTGGTGAACCCAAGCCAGAACAAAGCAGCCGTACTCTGTGTCCTATTTTTTTTTTGCCAACTTTCCAGCCTCTATGAAGTAAACATGAACAATGTTCAGCATAGCCTGCATTACATCTACTTAGAAATCAGAGGGAAAATCTTTATAGCAGCTTTGTTCCAGCATACTAAATGTTTTTTCTGGTCTCAGTCTGTGAGTCTTTCTTCTACAGTTTACAGAAAACTCTCTGAAACATAAATACTAGAAAATATGTTGCCTGGTAGAAATACAGTGAATATAGGTTAAGGTATAAGCCATCTTCTTAGTGTGAATCTCTTAACATTACCTTCTCCCAATAATGTACTCTTAGGCAGTAAGAGAACTGAATATAAAATGTTCTCTACTTTATTCTCTGAGTGATACATTGTTATTATCAAGGGAAGTTTGAATATTCAGTATTAGATTATATAGACAATATCTTAAGTATTCCCAATTTAAGTGAATCCATGGCTTAATATTAGATGCACTGACTGATTAAATTATATAAGTAAAATTTGAGTGAAGTTGATAGATGAACTCATCTATCACCCTCACAGGAGCTCCAAAATCCATTCACAGCTGTTCACATCTATTTCTGTTCCAGGGACAAAGATGATAGAATAGGAGAACTATGTATTTTCTCTGTCCCTGGATACTATCATCACTGAAAGTTAATAATCACAGCATTATTCTTTTTGTCTGTAATTATTTTGGGATGGTCTCCATTTCAACAGAAAAGCAGTATCTCAGAAGTATCAAAGGAGGAATGAAATCAATAAAATTCACATGGAGCCACTGGTTTTAATTTGTGCACAATGTTGTTTAATTTTGTAATGCCAAGACCTCAAAAGTAAAGAAGAAAATATCTTTATGGGAAAGAAGACATAGTTATCTCAAAAAATTGGGGGAAACTAACAAATTTACAACACACCATATTTTGTAAATAAGCAAAGAAAGAAGCAGGCACAGAGAGGCTCATAGAGTCTGTACTGCAGCTAGAGAGCTGTATAGTAATAAAAAAAAATTAAACCAAATCACTCCAAATACACTTAAGAATTACATATATAATTGAAATACATTTGAAAAGTACGTTTTGAATTTAGAGTAAAAACAAAATCAGCATTCTTGATGAACTTCCCTATCTATCTATCTATCTATCTATGTATCTATCTATCTATGTATCTATCTATCTATGTATCTATCTATCTATGTATCTATCTATCTATGTATCTATGTATCTATGTATCTCTATCTATCTATCTATCTATCTATCTATCTATCTATCTATCTATCTATCTATCTATTGCCACATATTTGGGCTTGAGCTCAAGGTCTCACGCTCCATTGGCCTGCTTGCTCACCATTTGTGCTCTATCATTTGAGCCATACTTCTAACTTGGCATTTTAGTGATTATTTTGGAGATGGAGTTTCTTGGACTTTTCTACCTGGGCTTGCCTTGAAACACAATCACCCCTCCAAATCTCACCTCATGAGTATCTAGGACTACAGGTGTGTACCACTGTTGTCTATATATTTAGTTTTCTAAAATAAGAGGCTATAAAATGAGAGATCATCAGATAGAAACACTTCATTAATTAAAAGTAATACTAGGGGCTGGGAAGGTGGCTCAGTGGTAGAGTGCTTGCATTGCATGCATGAGGGCCTGGGTTTGAATCCTCAGCACCACATACGCAGAAAAAGCTGGAAGTGGCGCTGTGGCTCAAGTGGTAGAGCGCTAGCCTTGAGCTGAAGAGTTGAGGGAGAGTGCCCAGGCCCAGAGTTCAGGCACCACGACTGGCCAAAAAAACAAATAAAAAGTAATACTATTTGTCATGATAACAAGCTACCCTATCCCTGTTTCCTTAATAAGATCCTCTATTATGTTAAATATCACAACAAAACTAGGATCTTCTGGTTTTGTAAGTAAATGTTTGGGTTTTGTAGTTGAGCTGGGATTAATATTTATCACTGTTAGTACTTTTATTAGCAAGGTTGGAAAAATAGAGCTCATTTATTGCAATGGTTTTTAAGCTTTTCTTCGTCTTTGCCCTAGGGAATAATTATTTAAAGATATCCAGGGATGTGATGTATCTGGTAACTAGTAAGTGCTTATCTAGGATGCATGAAGCTCTCTGATTGATCCTCATCACCCAAGCATAAACTAGCAATAAAAATTGAAGAGAGATAACACACATTAGACATCAGCACACTCAGTTTACTGCAGCACTATTCACCATAGTCAGGGTATGGAATTCAGTCCAGATGTCCCACAATAATAGATGGATCAAGAAACTGTGGTATACATACACAATGGATTTTTTCTGATCCATTAGAAAAAATGATGTTATACCATTTGTAGGAAAATGGAAAGACCTGGGAAAAGTTATATTAAGTGAAGTAAATCAGGCCCAGAAAAAACAAGGATGCATATTTTCCCTTATATGTGGAAACTAGATTTAGCTTATAAACTTATATGTAAATATATTGGATGGTATGTAAGTATATACAAATCTATTAACTGAAATATGATAGATTCAAGGGACAGCTCAAATAGTGAAATTCCTTACAAAGGCAAAATCGAAGTTCAACAAAATAAATACCAGGAAGTGGATATTTGAAAGGGGTTGGGTGGGGTCAAGGGAAAAGGAATAAAGAGGAGAAGAGGGGAGAATGCACCAAGGATTCAAGGTATATCCTACAAAATTAAGAGAAGGGAAAGGATGAGTATGGGAGAGATGAGTGAGAATGTGTAGTGACATTAATCAAGGTATACTGTATTCATAAACGGCTTTGTTAAATGGCAACTCCTTTGTACAACTACCTAAAGGTAATAATAAAATGTAAAAAAAAAATGGGTAGAGTGGTAGCCGTGAGCTGAAGAGCTGAGGGACAGTGCCCAGGCCCAGAGTTCAAATCCCATGACAGACAAAAAAAAAAAAAAAAAAAAAGGAAAGATAGTGTTCAAACTTTACTATCAGAAATGAAATAAGGAAGAAATGAGTTACTACAAAGGAAAAGGATCAGGAGGCAACTTTGCCTCCCAGCTTTATCTATTGCTTTTTAAAATAATTTCCTCATCCTACCTTACATGTAAGAGATGAAAGGAGAATTAATACACATATAATTTGAAGACGCTCTTGTCTATTTCCCTTATCTTTTGATAGGGGATAAATATGTAAACATTCAATGGATTAACTTATTCTCTTATATAACACACTCATACAAACTGTCCTCCATCTCTTGAATTTCAAGCCAATGTCTTTCCCCATCATCCTAATTCACTGCTTTCCTTCAAATAAGGAAAACCATAAATCATGAACAAAACAGAAGTTAATTGTGGTTAGTTTGAAATTCTCTGCAGCCTGAAAGTTGCTTACTCTTAAAGATAAACTTTCTTAAGTGGTCCACTAGATAAAAGACTGCATGGTTGGAGTTAAATGTCTTACTGTAGTTAGGGGTAGTCTTAAACTGTGTACCAAGGTGTCCTGCAGAGCCCCAGTGAGAAATGGCTCATTACAGCAGACTCCATGAATAGGAGGTTACATTTGAAAAAGTACCAGCTCCTCTACACACAGGAGCAGCTGCATCTTCTTTACCCATTTATAAATTAAGAGAAGCTAGAGGATTTTTGTCTTCTAAGACAAGAATCTGTGATTCCATGATAATATATCACAACTGAATATATAGAATTATTAACTGATATTTACATTTCTGAAATCTAGAAGGTTAGAGCTAGTCTATTTTACCAAGATACCACTAGAAGTTTTTCTTAAAATAAAAGATTTTTAAAATACGTTATAGAGTAGATATGTTAATTTTTTCCACAGTCCAATTACATATGAGGTTCTACTTATGTAAATCTTTAGGAAACATTATTAGTATTGTGAAATACAACTTCCTATTCACTTATAACTGAACTGCATCCACTAAATTTGATTAAAGGACTTCGAGGATTCTGATTTTTCCAAAAATTAGAGGAAAACTATTGTCTTTTACCTATCAACATGTGAGTTCCCTTTGCTTGATTCTCTTGTTAACTTCTTTTTTTTAATTTTTAAATTTTTAATTTACTTAACTGATAACTTTTGTTCAGAAATATTTTGAGAAGTAAGGCCCAGTGATCTGTTGCTGCAATTCCAGCTATTTGAGAACTGCTATCAGGAGCCCGACAGTTCCAAGACCAGCTTGGGATACACCTTTACAAGTCCCCATCTCAGGAGGAAAAAAGCTGGGTGTTATGACATATACTTGTTTTCCTAGGTAATTGAGAGGCACAAATAGGAAGATCAGAGCCCAGAAGCCTGGGCAGAAATGAGCCTATATAAAACAAAACCAGCACAAAAAGGACTGGAGGTATGACCAAGTGTTAGAGTACCAACCTAACAAGCATGAGGTCCTGAGTTCAACCCTATGACTAACAACAAAATAACAACAACCTGACAACATAATAAGAAAATTAGCAATAAAACAATGGTAATAGCTATTATCAAATATGGTGGTAAATACAAGTTTTATTTTACTTAATCTTAATGCCATTCTAGAGAGTTCATGATCACAGGGAAATAAATTTAAGCCTAGATATAGTATATTCCCTGCTCATGATCTTTGTCTCTGCTCCTTGTTCCTCTTAAACTTCTTAGTATATGTATAGCACCTAGTAATGATGACATTATTAAAACTGATGAATGGAAACGGATGAGAAATTCTCACCTTAGACCAGTCACCCATCTGCCACACATAGCATTTTGAATAATCCTCACAATCTTCAGCCTCCCTCGGTCTGGTGGAGAGGACACATTTCTTTCTTGGGTTTGTACATCTCACTGTCCGATGACGAACACCTTTGCCACACTTGACTGAGCACTGAGATGAAAGGATCTGGATTCAGTTGGTGATTGAGATATGTACTATAAACTACATCATGTACTGCTTTTAAATTATTTCTCATAATCCCAGCACCAACATAAAAACCAGAGAACAGAAGTTAAAAGACAAGTTTAAAGGCAGAACCAGCTAAGCAGCTGTATGTGAGGCCATACGGTGTTTAAGTCACAGTTTTGTAGGTAAGTGGTTTTGAGCATATTAGGCCATTATTATACAGAGTGGTATATAACATTGGGATGATATGAGAAAGACAAATAATATATACTGATTAATGCCTTGTGGAAAAATAAATTATATGCCATTACTTATACAAGAAAGTATTACAATTTCTCTATGTAATGAAAAGTATTCATTTTATTTGTGCTAATATTTGCTCTTTGCTTTAGATTTGGTAAATGATGGTGAAAATGTTAACATTTCAAAGAATTTCTTACAAATATCTACTGAAAGTAAAATAGAGGAAATCAAGATTGAACTCATCAAATTTAATGTAAAAATCTAATTTTCCAAAGTTCACATAAAACATGAAAATGAAGTTATGAATCGACCTAGAAAAGTAACAGAAAAATCTGGTGCTTCTAATGTGCTTTTTGAAACAAGGTTGAATAAAAGAATATTTTAGAGACTGCCAGGTTCTGGTGGCTCACAAATGCAATACATACTAGTTGCTCATGAGGCTGAGATCTGAAGATCACGGTTTGAAGTCAAACTGGGCAGGAAAGTCTGTGACCCTTTTATCTCCAATTAACAACTAAAAAGCTGAAAGTGGAGCTGTGACTCAAGTGGTAAAGTGCCAGCCTTGGGTAAATATGCTAGAAGTCAGTGCCCAGGTCCTGAGTTCAAAACCAATGCCAGCACATACACACACACACACACACACACACACACACACACACACACACACACACTCACTCACACACACTATTTAGTAACTAAACTGTCTAATTCATATTACCTTTATTTTTTAAGATAATAGCTAGTTATTTCACAGATTTTTTATTTTTATTTATTTTTTTGTTGGTCGTGGGGCTTGAACTCTGGGCCTGAGTGCTGACCCTCAGCTCTTCAGCTCAAGGCTAGCGTTCTACCAGATTTTTTTTTTTTTTTGGTCGGTCATGGGGCTTGAAGTCTGGTCCTGGGCGCTGTCCCTGAGCTCTTCTTCAGCTCAAAGGGAGCATTCTACCATTTGAGCCACAGCACCACTTCAGGTTTTCTGGTGGTTGGTTGGAGATGAGTCCCATGGACTTACCTTCCTGGGCTGGCTTTGAACTGATATCCTCAGATCTCAGCCTCCTGAGTAGCTAAGATTACAGGCATGAGCCACCAGCGCCCAGCATCACAAATCATTTTCTATCTAATGTTTGAAATTAAGCATGTGAATGATTTTGCTCTTTGGGACATTCATGTGTCTTCCCCCATGTGAATGTGAATATACTAGCATGAGTGTATTTGCATAGACTCATGCATCCATTATCTCACATCAAATGCTTTCACAAAAATCAGTGATGATATACAGTGAGTTGCACATAAATGAACAAGTGGTCCATTCTGTCATAAGTGCAGAAAATATATGGATTGGTATGAACACCATCTCCACATTGCACACTACAAGCTGATTGTGGTACACTGAGTTCTACTTAAGTAAGATTTGTTTAATTTCTTTAAAATATCTTCACCAATATTTATATAATGGTGAAAATGTAGAGTTCTTTGCATTTGTTATTATTCATGAACAAAATAGTAAATATAAAGTAAAAATTTAACTTCCTTTGTTTCTTCTTAATGTGTGCTTCCTCCAAAGGGTAATCAGAGCATGCACATAAAAAAAGGAGGATTCCGAATTGAATATAGCAGTGCCTTTAATTGTTATCATTGTTGGGTCTGCCCAGGAAAAGGGTGGCTTTCTCTGTGTCAGTCTGCATTTAGACTCCTCCCCTACTGTTCTCCACATAGGACTGCACATGTCCACTGCCAGAAGTCTCTCCCCAGTACCTGGATTACCCAGGTGACTAGCACCCCTGGGGGCTGCTCCCTCCCTTTTGTCTAAGGACACATCCTGGACCTCCACCGTGTGCAGGCCAGCAGTTTGAATAATACATTCTTTTCGCCTTGGGATATATGGTAGTTTCTTTTGGCAAAACCTTACAATCACATTTATAGAGTAGAGTGTAAATATATTTTTCTGTTTTCAAAATTACTTAAATAAAATTAGTAATACCAAACATCGACTATGCTGCTGAGATTCTAGATCTGATAGATAATGCTGTGATCTAGATAAGAGGAGAGACGGTAAAGGGAAGTGGGTGTGTATCGCACCTCAGACCAGACTCCTGCCTCCCACACAGTCATGCAGTCCTGGCCCTCACAGCGCTGGGCGGAGGCTGGCTTTGGTCCCACACAGTCCCTCTCCTGGGCTCTAATGAGAGTTCCATTGCTTAGTTGTTGGGTACAGGCCACTTGCCTGTTCTGCATCCCTTTACCACAAGTTCGTGAACATGTGGTCCATTCTGTCATCATCCATCTAAAAGTAAAGAATGAGTCAGAGTCATTGAAAACAACTTGAGAGATACATACCTACCATCTATCTGGTGTGTCTAGAGTTGGAAAGAAAAGAGGCACACAATACTTTGTACCATCTATTACATTTAATTTTCTCCAAATTACACTTTCTCTTGTCTTTCATGTTTAGTATTCCTTATGTTAGGGTCTTGTTCTTAGTACAATAAGAATATATCTGATTCTCCCCTTGTCATTTTGCCTGCTTATACTGCTCTTCATATTACCATATTGAGGTATCTTTAAGTATAAAATTGCTAATGTCTAGAAGTTATTCCCAATCTTTGAATTTTGAATGTTAACAATAACCCCATTTATTAGGTGCAACTATCTTAACCAATTATAGAAAAGGAAACAGCATATAGGTTTAGTAATTTACCGAAGAGTGGAGACATATTCTTCCAGACAGAGATATACATGCCTCAGAGCCAAACATCTGTCTAGCACTCATGTGCTTTCCTTTTCCTTCACAAAGCCTTGTTGTACTGCTGTCCTTATTAGTCTTGTGATATGAGATAACTGAATGTTCATGCAATGAGAGAGCTGCAGTAAATGACTGGGGCACTGTGACGTAGACTACCTTGTGAGGGTTGTCTAAATACAAGTCCTGCGACAAGGGATTTTGATTCACATTCAAAGCAGAATGAACTAAGTGAAGCAAGACTTCTCACGCTCACATGGCAGGTGATTTAAACTTATGAATTGCTTATTTCTGGAATTTTCCACTAAACTGCAGTTGACTGTAGGTAAAGGAACCATATAAAATAAATACATATCTAAAAGAGACTACTATAGTATATGATATATATATGTTGTAGCATATTTTGAAGTGATTTATAAATATATATATATATATATATATATATATATATTTCTCTAGCTTCATTTTCTACTTGCTCACATAGTAAACCATATGCAGAACATGCCAAGCCCTTTGTTTATGCAAAGTCCTCTGCCAGAATCTTTGACTACTCTCTCCAAGTCTCTTCCTCCCAGAATAGCTCATCCTTCAAATCCACAGGACTGTTCTTACCACTGCCCTTCAATACCTGGCCCCTAGAGGGACACAGCTTATTAGGTCCCTCCTAGGTAAGTAGAAAGGCTCAGAGCCTGCCTAAAGAATAGGTCTTTCTTCCTTTTTACTATAGAAATAAATTCCTCATAGACACAGGCCCACCTCCCTTCTGCTTTTCATACCTATACACATATCAGCTGTTCAGTAAATCTTCCTTCCTTCTTTCTTTCTTTCTTTCTTTCCTTCTTTCTTCCTTCCTTCCTTCCTTCCTTCCTTCCTTCCTTCCTTCCTTTCTTTCTTTCTTTCTTTCTTTCTTTCTTTCTTTCTTTCTTTCTTTCTTTCTTTCTTTCTTTCTTTCTTTCTTTCTTTCGTACTTGAGTTTGAATTCAGAGCTTGGGTGCAATCTATTAGTTTTTCACTCAAGGCTCTACCACTTGAGCCACAGCTTCACTTCCAGCTTTTTGCTGGTTATTTGGAGATACATGTCTCAAAGATGTTCCTGCCCAGGCTGGCTTTGAACCATGATCCTTAGATCTCAGCCTCCAGAGTAGCAAGGGTTATAAGCATTAGCCATTGGCACCTGGCACTAAATGTTTTTTAAAATGAGGTTTAGATTTCTCTATCTCAAAAAATAGCTTCAGTTTTTTTAGGTTTACCAAACTAATGAATCACATTTTGATTCACATTACAGCCTAGTATCACTTTTAATTCTAAGTGAACATGTATTTCTGTTTCAGAAAGAAGGAAAATATCAAAATAGTCATGGTATGGTATTGACTTTTATAAGTTCTTACTCACCAGCTTCTTAAGGGGGGATTGTGGCTTACACTTTTACTTTGGATTCCGCCAGTAGATTTTCCTTCAAGTAAATATTCATCTTCCAGATTTACTTTACATTTTGCTTTTCATTTTCATAATGTTTTTATTATCTTTACATAGTTGTGCAAAGGAGTTACCATTCAACAACCCAGTTTACAAGTGCAATGCATCTTGATCTATGCTATCCCTTTCATCATTCTTTTCCATTGCTCTGAACCCAATCCATTTCTTCAATTTTCTGTTGCATAGGATATGTATTAAATATTATGACTGTATTACATATTTATATAGAATACTCAGAAAATAGTCACAACTTAAATGTATGGATCTTCCCCTCTAGTTGTAGAACCTGGGAGACACAACTGCAGTTTCCATGTAAATTACAGAATCTCACAAGTTTAAATAAATCAATTGTAAGTTTGTGTGTGTGTGTGTGTGTGTGTGTGTGTGTGTGTGTGTGTGTGTGTGTGTCAGTTGTGGGGCTTGAACTCTGGGCCTGGGTGCTGTCCCTCAGCTCTTCAGCTCAAGGCCAGCACTCTACCACTGAGCCACAATGCCACTTCAGGTTTTCTGGTGGTTTACTGGAGATAAGAGTTTTATGGAAAAAAAAAAGAAAAAAAAGAAAAAAAAAAAAAAAAGAGTTTCATGGACTTTCCTGCCCCGGCTGGCTTTGAACCATGATCCCCAGTCAGATCTCAGCTTTCTGAGTAACTAGGATTACAGGCATAAGCCACCAATTGTAAGATTCTTTTTTTTTTTTTTTCTTGTTGGTCATAGGGCTTGAACTCTGGGTGTGAGCGCTGTCTCTGCGCTCTTCAGCTCAAGGTGAGCACTCTACTGCAGGAGCCACAGAACCACTTCTGGTTTTTGAGTGGTTTATTGGAGATAGGAGTCTCACTGACTTTCCTGCCCGGGCTGGCTTTGAACTGTGATCCTCAGATCTCAGCCTCCTGAGTAGCTAGGATTATAGGCTTGAGCCACCGGGCGCCCAGATTGTAAGATTCTTACAATGATAAAAGTAACTTTATCTATTACTTAAAGAAGGTTTAAAATGAGGGAGTAAAATATAAACTAGATTCTTAGGAAGGAAAAACCTTTGAGTATTTTAGAATTCATCTATATTGAAATAAACAGATCTTTTGCATCTATTTTATTGAGTCATTTTATTGAATCATTACCAAGGCATTTTCCTTCCAGCTTGCTGAGAATGGCCTCTGATGTGTACTCTTCCCCTACAGAGCCCAGGTTGAAGAGTGACCAATCATTATTGCAGTCCTGAATCCTTTGGATTCAAGATCACTGATATATTAGAAAAAACTTACTGTTTCTTCCACTTGGGAAAACTACATAGTATGTAAAATATATGGTACTTTGAAATATTTTAATGAATATTTCAGAAGACAATTTATAATTTAAATTATTAAAATGGCTAGGAAAGCTGAAAGAAACTTCTTAGTAATTGAGAAAACAACAAAGATCCAGAGTCTTTAGCTGATAGGATAAAGTCCAAAAGTTCCACCTATATTTTTGTCCGCACCAAATACAAAAAAAACCCAAAAAACTCATTCCATCCCACTGCCTAGGCCACCTACCTGTGGGTAACAATAACTGCCACGTTAGCCTGCTTGATTACTATACTGCATCACAGAGGGTCTTCATTAGTTCATCTACTCATGGAGACAGGTTGTAAAGTACACCCCCAGGAAGGTGCAGTGTACACACATTATTTTAAGTATTTAGTCAGGCGTCAGTGGCACACACCTGTAATCCTAGCTACTCAGGAGGATGAAATTGGAGGACTGCAATGTGAAGCCAGCCGTGGTAGAAAAGCTCATGAGACTTTGATCTTCAATTAACTAGAAAGAAGCTGGAGATAGAGATTTGACACAAGTGACAAAGCACCACTCTTAAGTGAAGAAGCTAAAGGTCAGCACCCAGGCCATGAGTTCAAGTTCCAGTACCAGCACATACACAAAAGTATATTAATTCTTTTCAGTATATTCTATATACCTATTTTAAATAATCCATTATTTTGCCCATCCTTTTTAAAATCATTCTGCTCTCTTATTTTTTATAAGGACATATTTGCTTGTAGGGAAAATTGTTCAGATTAGGTTGTAAAAAAAAGTTAAAATTAACAATATGCTTTAAGTACATCTGCGTTAAGGATATGATATACTTAAAATTTCAGTGTTGTAAATGAAGAAAACAATTTCCAAACACTCCTAAGATTCAATTGATTATATAACCTGAACCAAATATGAGTTTTGCAGCAAGGCAGAAATAATAAAATTCAGAAAAAAATTATAAACAGGTGAGGGGAAGGATATGGAATAAAAAATCCAGAACTGAATTTTTGCCTAGATATATGACTAGTTTCCTAGCTGACTATTTAACAAACAAAAAGTGCAAAAATCATTTAATTGGAAATTCTCTCTCTTCTACCTTCAACCCCTCTCACATTAATTGTTTATGGTAGCAAATTATGATGAGGCACAATTATGAGGGTTACAAAGCTACAAATTCTTTACATATCTGGATGTATAAATTCAGCACAGTTGCATTGCTGAAGTGATTATGGAAAGGGCGATCAATTCTCTGTTTAGGCTTTCTTTGAGGATTATGTCAGAGTGAGCGTCAACAAATTCCAGAGTGTCAGATAAAGTAAATATTGTTGTCACTGTGCTAGAGCAATCAGTTTATTCCACATTCTTCTTGTCATGCCATCTCTAAAACTATCTACTATTCCACTAGGGTGGAATCCTGCTTACGCTTAGCATTGATTTTTTTTTGGGGGGGTCCTGTCCTGGGGCCTGAACTCTGGGCCTGGGTGCTGTCCCTCAGCTCTTCAGCTCAAGGCTAGCGCTCTACCACTTGAGCCACAGCACCACTTCTGGCTTTTTTATTTTTTTTTTGCTTATGTGGTGCTGAGGAATTGAACCCAGGGGCTCATGCATGCAAGGCAAGCACTCTACCACTGAGCCACCTTCCCAGCCCTAGCATTGATTTTTATGAGGCAACAGGTGGGGTTTTTAAGAGCCTTCAGATGACAGCATTGATAAGTAGCTTTGCTTTCAGGCTGCTCCAAGATATACTTTTCGATCTTTGCTCCATCTTTGTTTACTATAAGGCGTTCTCTCTTCCTTGCTACTTGCAGATGCTCATTGAAACACTTATTTAGTTGCCTACTTGTGAATTCCTTTTTTTCTGCTCTGTTGCCTAGTACGCATTGGGGAAACTAGGACATAAGTCAGAAATCTGATTATTGAGAGACTAGGAAGAATAGTCTACATTAATCTTAGCCATACAGAAGGCATAGATCAAAGGGACTACAGATCAAGGCCAACTGGAGTAAAAAGACAGACTCCATCTTATTCTATGACTTTCATGGTGATTTATTCCTATGACTCCAGCTGGTAGGAGAATTGCAGTGTGGGCTAGTCCTGGGCAAAAGTGCAAGACCCTGTCTAAAATAGATAAAAATAACTAAAGCAAAAAAAAAAAAAAAAACCAGGTGCTGAAGATGTGGCTCAAATGGCAAATGTCAAATCCCAATTCTAGATCAGAAGAGGATAAGGAAATAAATGTTTGGAGATGAAGAATTAGGCAGTTTACACTGAGAACTCAGTGTTCTACAGCTAGAAGGATCACACAGACTATTTCCAAGCCCAGTAGTAAGATCTGGGTCCTGGTCAGTCCTGCTTTGGTCTGTTTACCTCTGGGAATTTCTAACAACTCATTTCTCATTTCAAAGAATTCACCCAAATAGCCATATTTTTAAAGCCGTGAATTACAAGGCAACAAATATTTAAAATTATTTAAACTTTAACCACTCCTCCTCACTTAGTTATTACAGCACTATGGAGAATATAGTCCAAGTTGTAAATCTTGGCCTTATGTTTTAACCATTCTTAACTGTTCTTCTAATTACTTTGTATTTTGGTACATATTCAATTCTATGTTTCTTAAGAAAATGTGATTATAATAGTACTCTGAGAAGGATACAGTGTGACAGGCAGATAATGCTTCAGTGACTGCCAGAATATGATTACCTTGTCTGACATGGTTGCTCATTGCACTTTCGAATCTGTGGATCTGGCTTTGTTAAGTATTTGCACTTTTTGTTGTCCACAATGCTGATATTCTTGCTCATGACTTTTGTGCAGGATACTGTTGTCTTCCTCTCTCCTGAAAAGAGCAAATAAACATACAACAAAATGTTATCGTAGGTCTTTATGAAATATATTCAGGAACTGTTCATGCTTAAAATAATAGGATATTTTACATAAATGTTAGTTTCTGCCCATTTTACACCAATGAAGATGATATGATTAACTACTTACATAACAAAATGTATTGTTAGGATTGAGGAATTTTTTTTTTCTTACAAGCTGAGTAGGAAATATTACAGTACAAAGTGATGATGATGATGTTAGATGACAAGATATTAATTGATTTGTTACAGTGGCCATCTTTTAATATTAGTGATTAAAAGCTGTCCATGTGCATTAAACATACATAGTAAGCCTTCTTAAAAGCACAAAACAACCACTAAAATTCCAGGAATCTTTCCTTCTGAAATAATTGCCATTTTACCCCAAAAGAAACCATAAAACTTCTGGCATCTACTACCAGATATCAGAAAACTCAAGTTTTGTGTGTGTGTGTGTGTGTGTGTGTGTGTGTGTGTGTGTATGTGTGTACGCGCACATGTCCTGGAAGTAGGGTTTGAACTCAGGACTTCATTTGGCTTTTTTGTTCAAAGTGGTGCTCTACCACTTGAGTGACACCTCTACTTTCACCTTTTCTGTGGTTGACTAGTTATGAGTCTTACGGACTTTTCTGCATAAGCTGGCCTTGAATTGTGATCCTCAGATCCTAGCCTCTTGAGTAGTTAGGAGAACAGTCATGAGCCACCAAAAGGTACTTGGGTAGAAAACTCTCCAATAATAAAATCTAGTTTTAGGAGATAATGGCTATTTGTATACTACATTAATTTTGCTTAGTTCTATAAGCATACTTTTGTTTGTTTTTTTATTTATTGTAAAGGTGATGTATCGTGGGGTTAAAGTTACATAAGCTAGGTAATGAGGACATTTCCTTTTGAACAGTGTCACCACTCCCTCATTTTCTCCCAGTTTTTCCCTCCTGACTCCACTCCCCCCAAGTTGTATAATTAATATCCAATGTAGTGTCTAGTGATTATCACTGCTGAATTGGTCCATCCTTTGACTGTACCTCACTGTTTCTGTGCCTCTGCTTCCCATCCCCAAATCAGATAGACTTATATACAAGACAAAGGGTACAGAAATGAAAATCAGCAACAAAAGAAGAAAAACAAAAAAACCCCTGCAAACAATGCAATAAAAACTTTTGTTTCCATTTCTTGGAGTTCATTTCGATAAGCATCATTTTATATGATCATATGCACATAGCTATTGAGCCCTTGTGATCCTCTCTCCTAAGAATATCCTCCTTTGTTCTTGCTTAGTGAATGTTTAGAGTGCTTTTTAATTAATGATGTCCAATTGTAATTGTCTTTTACTACACATTGGGTTTACTTGCAGATTTTTAGGCACATTCTAATGATCATAAATGAGAGCAACCATGCAGCCTATGTCTCTTTGGATCTGGTTTATTTCATTTAGTAAAAATTTTTTCCAGGTCTTTCCATTTCCTTATGAATGGGACAATGTCATTCTTTCTGATGGAAGCATAGAATTCCATTGTGTATATATACTACAGTTTCTTGATTTCTTGATCATTTGTCCATTTGGCATCTGGGTTGATTCCATATCTTAGCTATGGTAAACAATGCTGCAATGAACATGATGGCTGTGCTGGTGGCTTTAGTGTGGCCCGGTTTGTGGACCTTTCAGTAAATGCCGAGGAGTGGGATTGCTAGGTTACAGGGAAGCTTTACGTTTAGTCTTTTGAGGAACCTCCATACTACTTTCCGGAGTGGATGAGCAAGTTTACATTCCCACCACCAGTGTAGCAGTGTTCCCTTCTGGCCACATCCCTTCCAGCCTCTGTTATTGTTAGTTACCTTGATAATGGCCATTCTAACTAGGATGAGATGGAATCTCAATATTGTTTTTATTTGCATTTCTTTTATTTCTTTTTTATGAACATCTCTTCATGTGTCTATTGGAAATTCTTATTTCTTCATTGGAGAAATAAGTTTTAAGTTTTAAGTTTTTGGCCCACTTTTTAAGTGGGTTGTTATATTTGTTTTTGTTTTCAGGAGGTTTAAGTTTTTGAGCTCTAAGTATACTTTATATATGAGGCCCTTGTCTGTTGTATGGCTAGTAAAGATGTACTTCAATTCTGTGGGCTTTCTATTTATCTTCCTAGCCATGTCCTTTGCCATGCAGAAACTCTTCAGTTTGATGCAATCCTGTTTATCCAACCTTTCTTTGATTTTTTTTTTTTGTGATTCTGGATGTTTAGTTAGGAAGGTTCAACTAAGAGTCCTAGTGATTCCCCTCTCCCTTCCTGTAGTATTTTCAGAGTATCTGGTCTTACATTGAGGTCTTTGATACATTTTGAATTGATTCTGGTGTAGGGTGATATGTAAGATCTAACTTCAGTTTTCTGCAGGTGTATAGGGAATTCTACCAGCATCATTTTTTGATGAGGCTATCTTTCTTCCATCCTGTGTTTTTGGCTTCCTTAATAAATATTATGTTGCTATGGGTATGTTACTTCATTTCTGGGTCTTCCATTCTATTCCACTGGTCCTCAGACCTATTCTTGTGCAAGTACCAAGCTGTTTTGATTACTATGGCTTTGAATAGAGTTTGAAGCTTGATATTGATATTCCTCCAGCACTGTTCTTCCTGCTAAGGATTGTTTCTGCTATTTGGGTTCTTCTATTATTTTTAGAATTGTGTAAGCATTCTTTTCTACTATTAACAAAAATTCTAGCAAATATGTGCTAATTTTCATTTCTCTATAATATATAAATAAATATATTTCTTGTTAATAAAATATTGATATCTATAAAGATTTAATAATTTATCTTAGTGTTTGATATTTTAAGATAACTAAATCCACCAACAATTTTAAAGTCAGAATTTCATGTATGGGGAGGAGCTGGGGGGGGGGGAAGGAAAGTGGGAGAAAAATGAGGAAGGAGATAACAATGTTTGACAAGAAATGTCCTCATTACATTAATAACTATAACCCCTCTGTACATCACATTTACAATTAAATTAAATTTAAAACATAAAATAAAGTGTAGTAATCTTCCCAAAAAGTTTTTAAAAAAAGAAGTTCATGGAGGATTAAGTGGAAATCACAATTGTTGAGGGCCATTGTTGAAAGGTCTGTTATGAGGGACCTGTGCCTATCGTCCAGTCATAATTAGTAAGTTGAGAACATTCACGCTGGTCATGCCAAACATGAATGACTAGGCTGTGCCATAAAGGTCCCAGTTGCTCGATTAGCAGGGACAGGGAAGAATGGATACAGAGTGCAGACTACTTTGGTTTATTTTGAAGGAGTTTTTCTTTGCCTTCTATGAGGGATTGGAAAAGAAACTGGGTAACCAAGCAGGAAGTAAAAGAATAGGAATGCTTAGGGATCTTTCCTGATGTCAATCCCAATAATGTGGAGCAAGTCCCGCCATGATCATTGCAGTCCATAGACATCTATATACATAAATGGATGAACTCACAATTATATCTGCCACCAATACAACTGTATTATTTAAATCATTTAGACTTTCAATTCTATCTTCTAATAGAAGTATTACTATGTTGGCCAGATGATTCCCTTTTGTAGCACTTTCAGCTTGCTGATAGAATATAGTAGAGGCCATGTGAGCTTATCAGGTAACGAAATGCCTGGCAGGTCACAGCCCTTTCTCTTGGGGGCAGGCATTGTGCCTCTTGTAGGATCCAGACATCCATTGAATTCTAGTAATAGCAAAGGCCTTGAAAAGTGCCTCCAACCATAAGTTTAAAAAAAGTTTAATACAGATATACTAGGAAAAACTCACACATCTAGATAATTGAGAAAGAATAGCAATCTCTTTTCACACAGAAGCAGCTTTTCATTAGGGCTCGTGTTTGACAAATGGAGCTAGGCTAGATTGACCAATCCTAGTTCAAGGACTTTGTGCCCAACTGCTTATGGGTATACCTTACAGGTCCACTCATCTGGTCTGTGCAGCATACAAAGCAAGAAGACCTGATTCTATCTTGGAGAGGAGAAGTAATCTTTTATGACTAGGCAAATATGTAGAGGGCAGGATAGACAATTCTGTACTAGGTCAGAGGTATAGAGGGAGCATTAGAAAAATATTCTCAAAGCTCAATATCCACCAACTGCAAATATTTTGTGTATTATCTACTAATAGCAAAGTCAATTTATGTTTAAAAAGCATACAAAAAATGGTCCTCTTATGGTTGAAACTACATAATATAAAATTTGAGGTGAATGATATTTTTGGTAATTACCTTCTAGTTTCTTATGCTTCAGGGGCTCCTTTATGACCTTGTGCATATATTTAAAGGATAGCATGCAAATTTCATAAAATGATAACATATGTATTACTTCTACATGATTATGGTAAACACTAAAAAGGTGCAGTTCAAATAAATATTACTTTGTAAAATACAAATATGAGCTTCAAATTGCAATTTGAAGACAATTGTCTAAACTAATTTCACTGATGACATTTTGCCAGCTGTCACAAATGAGATGACAATGAGAAATAATCTGAAAAGCTTTTGCTGAATATATGTACTCACAGAAGAAGTAGCTTATGCCCCTCATGACTAATTCTATTGTATATTTTTCCTGAGAAGAGCTAATATATTAAGCTATTGAAAAATCATTTCTGATTAACATTGTAAGGGAAATAGAGATGTCAGCATGATTTTAGGAAGCACTTAGTGGTGTTTTAAGAAATTATAAAGGCATGAGAGCATAAATTGGGTCAATTTCTTCTGTATCATACATAGGAAGATCACATAGATGCTTTTGGCAGGGGAAGTTTAGTCCTATTTTTTAAAGATTTAATCTATCAGAAATAATAGAAAAACATCAGGCAGCAATGGCTCATATCTGTAATCCTAGCTACTCATAAGGGTGAGAACCAGAAGATATACAAGTTTAACTATAGCCTAGGCAGAAAAGTCCATAAAAATAAAACTCCAAAATAATCAGAAAATAGCCAA